ACGTCAAAATAGTGGGTGTTCTAAGCATTACACATGTCTTAGAAATGTAATATGCTACAGGGCTTCCAGACAGTCATCCTGGGTATATTTTTACAAGTTTAAATATTTAATTAGTAATAGTTTTATTGCATTTTAATAACTTTTATAGTATTTAAGCCTATCATTTAGATGACAATACAGTGTCAAGGACAAAAATCTAGATGATCTACAAGGGATTTATAATAGTTTCTATGTCAATTTGTTTGAAAGTTATAGCTACATATTTTAATGGAAAAAAGAATAGAGATAAGAAATCAGTCTTTGGATGGAGATGTTGCTTATTTTCTTATAAGTTTGATTGTATTTACTGTGGGACACAATTAGGTTAAAAAGAAAGTCTAATGTCTACATCTTGACTGAAAAGGAGAGAGGAAAATAGTAAAGGAAGAAGTGGGAGTGGTTTAATGAGGAAAGAGGCTCAACTTTTCCATGTGTTCCTTCATGCAGGTTTAGGTTTAGGGCTTTCCGTCTGATAAAAGTAACAGGTGCTGCAAAATAACAGGATCTTTTAGGATGTAAGTAATTTCTATGTGCTAATGTCTCAGGTATGCTGGGATAAATGTGTCTAATCTTGGACACATAGTATGTGGATGCACAATATAGTAATACATGGGTGAGAGGCCTCTTGGAGACCTTTTTAATAAGCAAAATCAGTTGCACCAGCAGATGAGCCTGGGACCTATGTTTAAAAACTTAACACAGAACTCGTCAAGAGATCCTTTTAGTGTCCAAAATCACTGCTAAGCTGAAGAGTGAAAAAGAGAGTATATGACATATCAAAAGAAATATTTGGTATTTCTAGCTGTATAAAATCAGTCTACTAGATCTACCTTCCGTGAGGCTTGATGAGTCCTGAGTCCTTTCTGTGATAGTTTTGGTATTTTCTTGGATATGTAAACAAATAGTTGAGGCTATGCCAAAATAATAATTTAAGGTAGTAGGATCCTCCTCATGAAAAATCTGAACGATTCTCTGATTCTAAGAATAAGACACTGAGAACTCCTTTATAAGAAATGGAGGAGAAGTAAGGCATTTTGTGTGTGATGAAGGTATGATTTATTTCACATGGAAGTACACATCTAAAACAGGTCAAATAAACTGCACCTTAAAAAGTTCTGTTTCCCCTCACTGACTGTAAAATGAACAGAGACTGATTAATTCAGATGTACAGATCTGCACTATAAATATCCAAAGTTTGAGAAGAAAAATTAGATGTGTCTAGATCAATTATTTCAGAGTTGGCTGTAAAATTTCTCTAACAGCATGTAAAAAATACCTACCTTACCCCCTGAAAGTAGAGGGAAATTGGGAGTTCTATAGTAGGAAAATAGCATCATACAATCATAGAATACCAGGTTGGAAGGGACCTCAAGGATCATCTGGTCCAACCTTTCTAGGCAAAGCATGACCTAGACTAGATATCACAGCACTCTGTCCATCTGAATCTTAACATTGTCCAACACTGGGGAATCCACCACTTCCCTGGGGAGATTATTCCAATGGCTGATTGCTCATTGTGAAAAGGTTTCCTCTTACATCCCATTGGAATTTTCCCAGCACTAACTTGTACCCATTACCCCTTATCTTTTCCATGTGACTCCTTGTAAAAACAGAGTCTCTTTCTTCTTTGTAGCCACCCTTGAAATACTGGAACACAGTGATACAGTCTTCTCTAAGCCTTCTTTTCTCTAGACTGAACAAACCCAGCTCTCTCGGACTTTTTTTGTGCAGCAGGCTTCCCAGTCATTTGATCATTTTAGTGGCCCTTCTCTGGACGTTCTCCAGCCTGTCCACATCTTTTTTATGTAGTGTGGACTAAAATTGAGCACAGTATTCCAAGTGTGGCCTGACAAGCGCTGACTAGAGTGGAATGATAATTTATCTCTGCTGGTAGTGCCCTTGTTAACATAACCCAGCATCCTGTTGGATTTTTTTGCCATAGCAGCACATTGTTCACTGTTGTGCAATAACCTATGTCCAAGCAAATAAACAAATAGCCGATGTATTTTGTTTTTACTGCATAATGGGAAGCTTTTAAAAACCGTTAGAGCCCACCACTGCTCAACGTTTGCTCATATAAACACCTATAGGATGAACTTACATATGTGCAACACAGCTGTACTGTAAAGTAAGTTACTGTAAAGTTAATATAATTTCTGTCTTTGAGGGTATGCCTATATACTGGTATTGTGGATATGCAAGTAGCAAATGAAGATTGGAGCAATTTTTGGTGACTGGGTGTATGCACATCTGCATTGGGAATGTGTGTATATGGTCAGAACATCTCAGGGATCTCAACTTTTCAATAACTTATTTTCCTATTTTTAAAAGTTATTTTCAATGTAGACACACAGGTGAAAGTATAGTTTAATAGGAATCCTTGGTCTTGACAAGCTCATACAAAAATGTATAATTGATATGGAAAAGGCATGAATAGGAATGCTGTCAAAGTCATGCTGGGTTTCCTAAAGTACAGATAAAATGCTATGTTCATTGTGGAACAGCAAGGACATATAGCTATACTCCTGGATTCCTTTCTGATGTCTTCTTTTGGATTATAAGTGATAGTCATGGTTCTTGCTGAGAATTTTAAAACCTGAAAAAATGGCCAGTAATTTGCAGTGGTAGATTTGACTAATGGTAGATGTCTACATTTAAATGTAGCCAGATCAATAAAAGTATACACTTAGAGATAGTCAGGAATTAGTATTAGTGAGAATGATCAGTTTTAACTGTTGTGCCTAGAATGCCCATTTTATTTCAGTGCTTTGCTCCTAGAATTAGATACAAAATTATAGGGAACAAAATCACAAATTTTTTGGTCAAACTTTGGTTTTGGGTACACCAGTTGACACAGGAAATAACTGCTCTGAAAAAACAGTATGGGCTCATGTGCCTTTAGTTCATGCAATTAGAGCTGAGAAGTCATCATTACTGTAATGAGATGAGTTTTCCTCACTTAAGATCAATTTTAAAATACATTTTAAAACCAGGATTTTTAAACCAGGCAATATATAGACTAGAACTCTTACTATCTTCTGGATATCTCCAGATGTATATTTATGCAGTAAAGGTTAAATCTTCATGAGCTCACTGATTATTTCACTCAGTTCCCCTGAAACAGTGTCTTTAGAAGCAGAGGTAAGACAGCACTGGAAATTCCATGGCAGAAGTACCTCTTGCGAAATGTTATTAGCTTTCAGAAGAATACTTCTTTTCCCTTTATCAGGATAACCACACTTTTATCTGTGATATAGTCAAGATGTTAAGAGTTATGAGAAAGCAGTTTGGTGAGAATTCCCATTTTAAAATGTTATCTTCTTTTGAGAATCAAGAAACACATTTACATCAGGCCTATTTGTTACTTAGAAAATATGAATGAATTAAAGCTTCAAATTAATGTTAAGTCTCTTTACCACTTTTTATGAAATCAGAATATTTAATATGGTACAATGTGTCTGCAAGATGTAAGAGACTAAGTTCAAAGTGTCTTTTTTAAAAGAAACCCTCTGTATTCTGTACGTTTCCTTCCTTAAAATGAAAATTATCATGTTGTTTGTTTTTTCTTTCTATATAGGGTATACAAGTATATATATTAGAAAACAAGTGAAATAAGATCATATTTCTCATTGTACATAATATCCCTCTGAGAAGATTATATTTTACTTTTCTAAAGCATGTCTTAGGTTTTCGTAGCTTAATTTTATGGGGCTGTATCTTCACATCCTCTAAAGTTTTCTAGACAAGTGTGAGGCCTACTAGTTATATTTCACCAAGTTACTGGTGTAGTTCCAGAGGAATAGGTTGAGCAATGTCAAAGCAGGATCTGAAGTAATGGGAATAGAAAAATGTTGTTTGTGGTCTGTACTGAAAAGAGAAGAACTACTTTGGTTTAGCGTTCTTTTGGTCATGAAATTCTATAGAAGAGTCAACATTTTTCCCTGCATACAATAGTATCAAAATATTATGTAGCAAGTAGTAATAAAATATTTTTCATATAACATGTAGTAACAATGGTGAGGAAAAGAAAGGAGAGAGAGAAATGTAATAGTACAAAATATGTGAGTGTAATTTGCAATTTAAAGTACCTTCATAAAAGAGAATATTTTATTAAAATACATGACTCATTCTGTAGGGGCAGCAGCATTAATTTAGACCTTTTCTTTAAAACTGTTTTTTAAACCTTTCTTCGTACCATGTGTCTGCCATACAGGTCAAATTGTGATTCCATAAAATCTCTATATGTATTTCATCAAACCTATACAGATGTACTCCCAGTTATAAAGTACATGTACTTAATAGAATTCTTCCTGATATTTAATCAGAAGACATTTTTCTGGGAATTTCAAGCAAAGTTAGTAGGCTTTTTATTCTAAAAAGTTTCTACATTTGTTTTTGTTATCAATATATCATATTTAACAATTCATTTAACCTTCCTTAAAACATCACCTACTGTACAGCTGAGTAGAGTACTATTGTTTTAAGTATTTTACTGAAGTGATTAGGATAAATATTAATTTGTGTTAGAAAAGCAAAGAAACAGGTTCCTTAAGACAAAACTGTTTCTTTAGATTATGATGAAAAAAAATTCCATATTCAAATGCTTTCCTTTCTGAAAATTCTGTTAGGAATACAACACAAGTTGCTTTTTAAGTTAATTTACTGTAAGTAATTTTATATGAACAGTTAAAAATGGTGAAGCAGTGATACTTTACACTGTACATAATTTCATGCACACATAGACTCAAGCATACCTCCTTCCTCACTGGATTTCATATTCCATGTACTCTGCTGTTGAAGCCTTAACTTTTTCTTGGAAGCACTTTGCAAGTCCTGCTAGCAGAGGTTCTGAATTAGATAGGATAATCAGAAGTCTTTACAATTTTACTGTATCTTTTTCTGTCCTTTCTTTCACCTTTCCTTTACTGCACTATCTTGTCTGTCTGATTCTCACAGGAGACATGGATTACAACTGGTTGGACCATACGTCTTGGCATAGCAGTGAGGCATCCCCAATGTCTTTGGTGAGACATGTGGAGCCTTACCATTTAGTTTACTTTACATTTCACGTTTCCTTTGTTTTATTTACACCTTTGCATGTTTTCTTTTTTGATCCTTTTTTTTATCCCACGCCTATAGGGGACAGTCAAAGGGGAAAAAGAAAAACTAGTGAGCAGGCAGTTTTGTCGGATTCTAACACCTTATCCGAGAGGCAAAAGAAAATGGTGTGCTTTGGTGGCCACTCTCTGGAAGAGGACTTGGAATGGTCTGAGCCTCAGATAAAAGACTCTGGGGTAGATACGTGTAGTAGCACAACTCTAAACGAGGAACATAGCCATAGCGAGAAGGTACTGAGATTATGGAGCCTGCATTTTAACCTGCTCATTTGGTCTTTGTTTGCTCTCTGTCACTCATTAAAATAGTGCATAAAATAAAAGATAGGGTGTTTCTAGAGACAATGTAGCATTTCTTAAGGTGCAGAAAAGAAAAACAAATGAAAAGTCTCTGCATGTTGCAACTTTTACTGGTTGGCAGCCTAAGAAAAAAATTGAGAAGCTAAAGGAAGAACTGTTGTTCTTATGATTGCATAATAGCATATCGTGGTCTTACCTTGAAGTATAAAGTAATCAAAAATAAGGATTCTACTGATTGGCTTATTTGACTTACTATGTTCAAACTCCTGGGGCTGAAATTAAATGAATAGTTTAAACTCCAGGTGAAAAAGGGAGAAAATTGGGTCTCTCTGCACAGAAAAGTTGTTTTTCTTTTTTCCCTTTCACCGTCATGGTTGTTCTTTTGTTTTGTTGCCATGCCATTTTTGTGCAGTATTGTGCGGAATTAAAGGCTTTGCCATCTGCTTTGGTATTTTTTTAGTTTTGCATTCTGTTTGGTGGAAATTATGATAAATCTTTTAGAGTTATTAGTTGTAATGGGAGCAGATTTGTCTGTGCCTGCTAATTTTGCATGAAATAGAGCATGAAATAGTATTTTTCTGTGAAAAAGTGCTATGATTACACAAAACAAAATGTTAAGATTTTATTAGTTATGCCAATATACAAGTATAACTGTGCCCATGTATAATAATGCAATAGTAACATTCACTGCAACTATGCTTTATAAGTGAAGTAATTATTCCAAGAAAGAAACAATACATTTAAATAGGGTAATGACTATAGCTGTTAAGGTATTTTATAATTTTTAATATACTACTACTGAGAGAAAATAAAACACTGAAAACATTTGCGTATCTTAGAGCAAACTGTCATGTTTGGAATAGTGGAAAAAGAAGAAATGTTTTATATCAATTTTCTGTTTTAAGTTAAACTTTTTCAGTATTACTCTTACACTAGTCGTCTACAGCTGTTTTTGTCTGTGTGAAGGTGTGATTTCCATTGTATGTAGGTAACTAGGTATAGTTCTCTATATCTACGTAATCAAGATGCAAAGATAATTCCAGGTATTTAGAAATTGGATTTAGTAAAATAGATAATGTTAGTAACTATTAGACATACACTGTAATGGACTAGATATCCAAATGCATCTTTTCTGGCACAGTTTTCTGTCATTCTATTATTACATTAAATGTTAGTGTAATCATAATACTTTCATGACATTTGTGAAATATATCAAGAAATGAAAAGTATTACTGAAATATTTTTCTTTAAAATCCTATTCACTGTATTTTCCATTAACACCATTTGATAGCATCCAGTAACTTGGCAACCATCCAAAGATGGAGACCGTCTCATTGGTCGGATTTTGTTAAATAAACGGCTAAAAGATGGAAGTGTGCCTAGGGACTCGGGAGCAATGCTTGGATTAAAGGTTGGTAAACTAGCTACCTCTATAACAAAAATATTCTCATACTGTGCAGGTTAGGCATACTGATATCTATAACGTCTTATCATTCTCAAAATTACAATGTAGGGACATTTTATAATCAACTAACAAGAGTAATTTTACAGGGTCCCTGAAAGGCTCAAATTTTCTATTCTTCTGATTGACAGATTAGACATGTTTCCACAAGTTTGCTGAGAATGTCAGCTCTGCAAGGTGCTAATTGTATCCTTGCTGGGCAAGCCAAGCCCTCTCCTTTTTTTTCAGTATTGAGTATTGCACCAAGGTATAACTTCTGTCACCCAAAAGAAGGAAGAAATGTGAAAAATAAATTATCTCATTTTAGGATCGGGGGGACATCTGGAATCCAATGACATTTCAGTCCAGAGCAGAGTCTACCAGTGGAAGAACCAAAAGCCAGAAAGTTCCCTTCCCTCCCCCTGACTGATTTGCTACATTTTAAATACACAAAATGGAAAATGTTGTAATATTTATTGTATATTATCACAAAGTAATGTGTTTGCATCTTTTTTGTGATGCAGTACTCTGAATATTATGAAATTATTTCTAGCTCATATCTTGATCTTATTTTTGTATTATACTGTTTGCAGTTCCAGCAATACTAGTACAAGAATGAGAATGAATTATAAACAGTAAAAGAAAAAACCATATATTTATTTTGAATCAACATCCTGAATTCTAAGATAATTATTAAGGTCAAACCTGTTGAAGTTTTCTGTAGAGGAATCTTCAGTATCACAAGTATTTTCATCTGACTGGCCAGCCAATGTGAATTTGATTCATTGACGTGTTAGATGGTTGGTGCAAATATCATAAGTTTGGTTACATTAGCATATATGTTTTCAGTTTGAAAGTATTGAAGTAAGCAGTCTCATAACCAACAGCTTACTTTTTTTTGGGTGGTAATTTATAATAAAGAAATACTATACATATATTTGGTAAGTCTAAAAGCTTTAGCATTCTGCATTTGCATTGTGTTTAAATTATGGAAGTAGACAGAATAGATAGAAACATAACCTGTCATAGCCAATATTCTGTGGTGGGGTTTTTTCAAGTTTATGTGTCTTACCTGGGCTACCTGAAAACCAAAAAAATAACTGAATTCTTCTTTTTGTTGCCAGAATATTGAAGTAATTTAAAGTAATTTTCATTCTATGAAAATACTTCCTCTTTGAAACAGGTAGTAGGAGGAAAGATGACTGAATCAGGTCGACTCTGCGCATTTATCACCAAAGTTAAAAGAGGAAGCTTAGCTGATACAGTAGGGCATCTTAGACCAGGTATGTATCTACTATAGTTCTATATTGCTGAGTTGTTTTTCTGAAGGTGATAACGAGTGAGTTTAATTAGCTATGAAATTATGTTGAAAACGTATGATGAAATACTGCAGAATTCAACCTGACAGTTACTAGATTATTGACATTACTTCGTTTGTCAAATAAATAAATTCTCACATTGTTCAGAATCATATTTTAGCATTTTTACTCATGTTTTATACTGAAAATAATATTCCACTAATGTTTTGTCCAGTAATTTTGTGGTCCATAGTTTATTTAGAGCAAACTAAGCTATCAATCAAAATTATGTGAACAGAACCAGCTCAGCTAAGAAACTGCTTCTGCCTCAACATGCAAACCATGGATTGCTAGGTTGGAGAACATGTCAGAAATATTAACTATTAACATAAGAACTAGCTGAACTTTAAATATTTAACTTGTAGAGTTAAAAGGATCTTCAAAATAGTAAGTTGATGAGATATGCTGTTTTAAAGAGCTGCATTTCCTAAGGAGCATGTTGGGATTTTGGTAAACCACAGCTGCCAAAGCAAGTAAGAGCTGTATCTTACTCAATAGACACTCACTCAATAATATCACCTACTAGTGATATTGTTTCACTGAACTTTACGTATTGGAAGCTGAGCTGTTGAAACCCTTTTATACTCAGGATTTTCCTGTATAAAGGACTCCAGACTTGTCTAAAACACAGGTTTCACAGTTCAGAAAACTTGCGAGTAGGATGGCTTAAATTGTCATTGCAAGTACAGTGCACAGCAGACTTCCTAATAAGGGTGTTATTGCTGAAATTATAGGTGATGAAGTATTAGAATGGAATGGAAGGCTACTACAAGGAGCCACCTTTGAGGAGGTGTATAACATCATTTTAGAATCCAAACCTGAACCACAAGTAGAGCTTGTTGTTTCAAGACCAATAGGGTAAGTAATTTTGTAAGTTTTTGTATTAAATATAATAAAAATGTTGCTAAATTTCACTTTTAGGGCAAAGCATATCAAACAGGTTTATAAAAATTGTAAACAGTAAAACTGTGTGCAAAATTCTGTAAACCAAAAACATAGCTAGAATGATTGATATAACAGTAATTAAAAAGAGCTGGTGTGAAATTCTGTGTTCTCTGAGGAAGTCCCAGGCATTGTCTGCCAATATGGTCAAAAATAAGTTCCCTGCTGAGGTTGTTTATTTGGTGATCAAGCCAACATTTGCTCTGAAATTGTTATACTCTTTATTGTTGCAATTCTTGACTCTTGATTTTTATTTCTCCATTCCCATTTTTATATAATATATATAAAATTATGTATTTGTGTTTAATTTATGAACTGGTGCTGAACTTAATTTATTCAGCGTATGTGATGTAGAATTTGCACAGCATACAGTATGCTAATGACATAATCAATATGCTTTGGAAAGTCTTGAATCCACGCTCTCACCATCTTCATCTATGAAATCTATGAAATTATTGCAGGTTATCTAATACAGAACATATTTGCACTCTGCAGGACTTTTTCTTTGGTGCTTTACATTGCCCCATTTTCTTAACTTTCAGACCTATTTCTCAAAATCTTGCATAGCAATAGCTGCTTTGTTATATTAGACTGTGAATACTTCCCCTTTATCTGTTCTTTTTCTTCCAAGTTCCTACAGCCTGCAGCCACATCCATCCATTTTTTACTTCTCCATTGGAAGTTCCATAGCTGACCACACCAGGGCTGTGAAGAGGGGGATGCTTATCACTGAATTTGAAGATGCTTACAGTTGTTAAGAATTTTCTCTTTTCCCCCACTGAATTTATTATGATGTATATGGCACAACTGAACAGGGTGCTAGGTAATATCACCTAGGCTTCCTTTTCCATGTGAGGTTGGATCAAAATGGGCTTTCAAGATCCCTTACAACCTGGGCTGTTCTGTGATTCTATGCTTATATGTTAATAAATATATTTGTTAGATGCACACTATATATATATATTAAATGCACATAATTATCTTACCTTTTGACAAGAAAGCATTGGCAATGTTACAACTAAAAATTAAGAAGTATGAAAAATCTAGAACTATATATTATGAAGACAGTTTCAGTGAGGATAATTTATCAGTTCAGCTATAATAGGTATTTAACATGTTCAACACATCCAGAACTTAATGTGTAGGAACTTAATTTGGTTTGAAAATTTTAAACAAACTTGATAATGACAAAACCTGCTTTATCTTGTCAGTGAGATGAGAGGTTATCTCCTACATACATATTGAATCACAACCCTTTTAGTGTACAGCCTATATCCTTAAAAACCTCTGTATAACTTCGAAGTTACAGGTATAATAGTAATGCTAAGGGACAGACTACATTACTAGAAGAATATTGTCTCAGAAAAAGAGTTTTCAAATTAATTTCATGAGGCGTAAGATCTTTCATGGTTTCTCTCAAACAGAAGTCTATAGCAGAAGTTTCAAGGAACTGCTCACGTCTTGAAAATATTCAATTTATTTTCTCCTTCTGCATTTTTTTCAATGTGCAAACCTCCTGTATTCTTTCTTGTGTTTTTATATTTACTGTCTGTTGCTTACCTTCCTTATCATCATGTCTTCTGTTATGTTACCATGTGCTCCACTTGCTGTCACTAGAGCAGCTCATCTAAAATTCCTTAAAGAAAGTGAAGTGGGGTCTCAAGATGCCTTCTTCAGTATTAACTGCTTGCCACATAGTCCAAAGAACTGAGCCAGAGCAGGGCTAAAGAAGTTTTTCTGTGTACTTTATTCACAGTGCCTTTTTGCAGTAGATGTAAGAGAGGGTTTTCACCTCCAAAAAGCAAGTTACTAACCTAAATGGGTTTATAACTGTAGTCTCAGTGATGAATGCTTTCTGAAAGTTGGTAAGGTTTTAGATTCTTGTTAGATGTATGTAACTCTTTGGATTTTGATATTCATATAACTTCAGTTTTTTTGGTTTTTTGTTTTTTTTTTATTTTTTAATGATATTTGAGCTGATGAACTGGAAATTCTGTAGTATCTTCTCAGTTTAGATTTCAGGTCATAATTAAGTGGACTATAGAAATTAATACCTTACGCTTGCCCAAGGAAATATGACACCATAGGTTTGTGTTCTGCCCCATGGAATAAAGTTTCAATGTCTTTAAAATCATTGAAAGTTCAGATTTACCAGATGTCAGGAGTGGTAATTATTTTAACTGGAATAATTGATGCCCACTTGAAGGATTTCACTTTTGCATTGAGGAATATCCTATTACTTACAAAGAGAGTCTCTTGGTGGTTGCATAGCAACACACTAACTCATCTTCTGACAGCTACTGGCAATTAACTTAGTTGACAAAGTGAACCTATTGTCACATCCTGATACTCTGAATACAAAACCAAATTTCAGTAAACATGATTAGTTCTTAATTAGTTCTTAGTTCTTCTTTTTACTATGGGCTGACTGCTATAACTAGCTGAGCTGATAAAGATAAAATGGAAAGCTTCTCAAGAGAAATTATCATACCATTTTGGCTTGCAATTTACCCCTTTTTTCATCTTAAAATAAAACTTGATGGCCAAGTTGTTACTCTGTGTGAACTGGCTGTCTCTTATACACAGGAAGTTACCTATTTTCTGCTTTTCTAATTCTCAGAAATAATTTTAAAATGCATGTTATTTTCATAGTTGCTATTGTTTTGAATTTGGAAGAAACAGTACAGTCTGCTTGCAATGGAACATACCTTAAAAAGTGAAGAGATGCCTAAAACTACTTCTGCTTCTACACCTGTTTATCTCGGGGTCTTTCCTTGTATGAAATACCAATCATACTACCATAAAGTACTGGGATGTGCATGCTTTAGGAACATAAATCATAGAATCATAGAATCATAGAATAGTTAGGGTTGGAAAGGACCTTAAGATCATCTAGTTCCAACCCCCCTGCCATGAGCAGGGACACCACACACTACACTATGTCACCCAAGGCTCTGTCCAGCCTGGCCTTAAACGCCTCCAGGGTTGGAGCATTCACAACTTCCTTGGGCAACCTATTCCAGTGCCTCACCACCCTCACTGTGAAGAAGCCTTCAGCCTCACTGTGTTCAAAGCCTTCAGATTTATTATTTCAGCTATCTATAGAAAACTCGTATTCAATTTGTTCACAATGATCCATATTTTCAAGGTTTTCTTCTCAAACTCACACAATAGAAATAGTTTTCTGAAATTACAAGTTAGGTCAAGGAGTGTATTTCTGAGTGAAGTGATAGGCAAGTATTGGGTCCCTTTATAAATTCTGCATACATCAAATATGCAAATGAATATTTACTTCTTCAATAACCCTTGTAATTTTCTGACAAGTTTTACTTACTGATGCTTTCTGATTCGAGTTATTGGATACTGTGCATCAATTCACTTGGAAAGATTCCTCAATCTGCTTAGTAAAGCTAACTTTCTAGCCAGTTTTAAAAGATGTTTGGAAACAGTATATCAAAAAAGGAACTAGATAAGTTTTATTTATATATAGTGCAGATTCTTTTCTTTCCTTTTTTCATTTTTTTTTTGATTGTATGCAACAGTAGATATCATAGGAAGCATTTTTAACTTCTTCCTTTTCATATCCCTTTCTGGTGGGTTGACGTTGGCTGGCCACTCTCTCATTTCCCCTCCTCAGCAGGACAGGGGGTGAAGATAAGACAGGAAAGCTCATGGGTCAAGATAAGGATGAGGAGATCACTCAGCAGCTAGCAGCATGGGCAAACCAGACTCAACTTGGGGAAGATTAATTTAAATTATTAGGAATTAATAAGAGAATAGGATACTGAGAAATAAAACTAAACCCACCTTCCCTTTACCTCCCTTCTTCCCAGGCTCAAATTCACTCCTTTCTTTCTGGCCCTTCTACCTCCCTGCTCTACCAAGGAGTGCAGTGGGATGGGGCATGGGGCTTGCAGTCAGTCCTTTTCCCCCTCCTTCTTCTCTGACCTTGGTGTCTGCAGGGATGTTTCTTTCATGGTTTTGTTTTTTCTCACTCTACTCTCTCACAGCTGCTGCTCAACTCTTTTTTTAACCCTTCCATGAATATGTTATCACAGAGGCACCACTACCTTTACTGATGGGCTCAACCGTTCCCTGCTGAGGGTCCATTGGAGCCGTCTGTACTGGGCTGTGTCCAGCACAGAGCAGCCCTGGCCTCCCTTCACAGAGGCCACTCCACAGCCGCTGCTGCCAGCACCTGGGCCCTGGCACCCAATGCAAACTTGGAGAAACCAACTGCACTGAACCACACACATCATGATTTTAAATATTGTTCTTGCTGTGACCCAGAGCTGAAGCTCTTCATTTTGCTTGGTTTTGCTCAAATGCCTCTGAAAGTATTTATTAGCATATTGATAGTTTTTATTAGCATACAGTACTGTTTGCCCCTCATAGGAAGAATGTTCCTTTGGGAATTGAGTGGGCGTAATGAGTTACTTAGTCATTGCAACTGAGTGCTTTAGAATTACATATCTGTACACATGGTTTAATACAGATGTTGAAACATCTCATGTATATGCAAGTATGCAATTTTGCCAAATGAACTTGCACATTTTATTTAGTCATGGAAAAGGTAAGATTGTCCAAACTTGGGATTCAAGGACAGTAAAGGACATCTTGGGACAGCCATTACTGGCACTTTAATATGTTTGAATAAGGGTCCAATAAATTTAATTAATGTATATTTCATCATAAGGTCTACTGCTCACAGTTTTAGTCTACTATTAAGTCTGAGATTGTTCTTTTTTTATTTCCTGAAGTATTTTGTTTTGACTGTGCAGACTCTCTCCTGCATCCACCAAACCATTTGCTCTGTAGGCTTTAATTTGCCACTGAAATTATTTATACTGAATAAAAGATAAGTCTTCCCCATGGCTGAAGACAGCCAGCGTATCATACACCTTTCCCGAGGCATTCCATGGTGACTTGAGAAGTGTTACAGTGTAAGTGAAATTTGAATATGCTTGTTAGATAAAGGATCAGCCTGTCTTAATTTTCCTGATTTCAGGGACATTCCCAGAATACCTGACAGCACACATGCACAGCTGGAGTCCAGTAAGTTTCAATTGTGGGGTAGGAAAATCTTCTATCTCTTTTATGTAAGCACAAAAAGATTGAAAAATGTCATCTACAGTCAGTATAGCTTTCGTCTCTTTGTCCATATTTGTCTCAGCATGTCATCTTACTGTATTATCTATCTACCTCTGTTTAATAATAAACTATCAAAAGTCAGGATATTTTGATTTAGGCTTGACATTTGGTTATAGGCTTAGGCTATTTTTGATTGAAAATAAAAGCATAATTCTAACTAATATACAGAAACACTAATAATAATTTTTAATTTCCTGTTGTTTTGCATCTCAGTTGAACTGTGTAAACTAAAAATGGTGATGAACTGTTCTTTATTTACAACCTGAGATAGCTATTTTGAAATTGGAATATTTCTACTGTATCAGAACCATTCAGCAGTCCTTAAATTGCCTAACTCAGTATTTCATGTGAGGAAAAATAACTTGTTCTTTGGCTTAGATCTGATAAGATGGATTTCAGCCTGGAGTTATTTTTTATCATTGTTTTAGAACTCTTTTATAATGGAAGCTATGAATAAATGCAGTGGCATAAACTTCATTATAATAATATGAAAAACTCCAAAACTTTTCACTGATCAGCCAAGTCTTAAAATAAAATCCATTTTATGTTTTGTGAGATGTGGATTGTCTTTTGTATTTATAAAAATACTTTACTTTTACTCTATGTTTTATATGTCAAAACTTGTCCTCTGATGTTTTGCAAACCTTGTAGATTTGAAACAAAATGCACAAAACCCATTACATGCATCTTGATGTTTTTGTAAAAATCTATTTAGAAATTTGTCTGATTGTACAATAATAAGACTGAATTCCTTTGACCACAGTTAAATATTTACCAAGTAGAAATTTTGGCCCTTCAACTTACTGATATAATTATGGTCAGAATTGCCTGAATAAACTATTTTTTGCTCTATAAAGGCTTTTGATTGCATGTGAGCAGCAAAAGATTTAGCATTATTATTTGATAGTTTTAAATAGATGAAAAATTGGTATTTCTCAAAACTTCATTGTACATTGGGTTATATTTCCACAATTTTTATATAAAGAATGTTGTGAAAAACAAGTAAGTGTTACTATTTATATAGTATTTTTATTTATCATTACAGGTTCTAGTTCATTTGAATCTCAAAAAATGGATCGACCCTCTATTTCAGTGACTTCTCCTATGAGTCCTGGCATGTTAAGGGATGTTCCACAGTTCTTGTCTGGACAACTTTCAGTATGTAAACATTTCATTGATATTACTGTTGTGCTTTTTGCAGTATATACAACTCTCACTGCAGACTGCAAGTTTCCTCTAACATAAATTTCTTGTTGAACTAGCTGAATTTTTTTGTCTCAGAGTAGGCAGGGCTATAGTTTCATAAGGGCATTCTATTTTATTAGCTTTTGGAAATTTTATATATGTTGGATTAGAGAGATATATATATGTATGTATATTTATTTAGTAAGGTAGACTGGTAGAGTAAAATTTTCAGAAAGGTCTGATCATGGCCTACAGTTATATTTGTGCTATTGAGTGTATACACTTTTTCAACTATAGTACTTATATGAACAGTTGGTAGATTTTATTACCTGTGTGCTTGGACATTAATATTGTTTATTTCTTATGCCTTAACTTTCATATATACCTTTCCCAGATCTCTCTTTGGTTGTTTACTAATATTACCTTGATTGTATTGTTTGTACCAGTGTTACTCACTTTTGTTCTTCCTCTCATTGAGAACAAAGTTTATTACATGAATGTTTTCTTAAAAATGGTAAATTTTTGTACTAAACTGAAGTTTTGTACACTTTTCTGTGTCATTTACAACTCCAAAGTGTGATTTTTCAAAAGTGCTCAGTTGTAGCCTGGTACATGTTGAAAAGGAGAGGAAAATGGAATAGAAGCAGTGCAAAGCTGGTGTTAAACATGTTTGAAAATGTCACATTCATATTTCTTCCAAGTTGTTTATGTTGAGTGTGTCATTAAAATATACATAAAATCTAAGCAGACTATTTAAAGATCTTACAGAAATGGTTTATGGTATTGATAGAGGAAAGGAAGAAATATTTTACTTTCAATTCAGCAGCCATGTTGGCTCCATTTTGCAATGCATGAGGCATTATTTGTTTTGCTCATCAGCTCAGCCATCCACAATATATAATTTTGAATTTTCTGTAACTGTTGTACTTAACTACTTTGAAAGACTCACAATTACAAGAGAACATGAACTATCAAAATACACAGACCAAGGTTTCTAAAAACCAATTTAGTTTTATAATACAGCAAAAATTCTTGATAGTGGAAATGAGGGAAAGAAATCTCTTTTGACTAATTATCATAAAAAAAAATAAGCTGACAAAAATTTTGGTTCCTAGCTCCCAGCAGGAAATTCAAGGTCTATATTTAGCTGCTCAGACTCCAATGCGCAAACACTGTGGAATGATGGTACCAATAGGAACCACACAAAACTGACTTTCTCTCTTTCTCAGTTTCAGAATCAAAATCTTCAGGAGTTTAAGATTAGGATTTATTAGTAAAGTCAGTAAGTCTGTTGATTTTGTGGTTTGAGGTGTGTAAGAGTAATATCAGGAGATTTGGAGGTATGTTCTAATAATGGAATTCACAAGGTTTTATATCTTAGAATGGCATATAAATTCAGTGTTTAACTCAAGAAGGCATCATTCATGTTTTTAGTGGGATTTTTTTGCTTGTTTCAAGATATAAATGACTTTAATAATAAGTTTATAGCATCTCTTCCCATTTAAGGAAATGAAATAACGTTAGAAGACATATAAAGATCTTTCCTGTGTTTGTCGTCTTTGTACTCCCTTATGTACTGTTTGCAATTTGAACACTTAACTCACCAGCTAAAGAGAAGTTGAAAATAGCTGTATTTCATGTTAACCATCTTAATGGCACAACCCAGCTCCTGCTGCTGTTGACTCAAGGCTTTGATAGGCAAGTTCTAAAGTGTTTGTTTTGTGAGGAAGGGTGGCTTGTCAGAATCTCTGAACATGTTGTGGATAGTTAGCAATGTGGCACCTAACTGGGCACATTGAAATGTGTTGACTAAAATAGATTTTTAAGATTTTAAGAGAATTGAGGTATTTGACAGGAACATTTTTTCTTTTCCTTTTTGATCTGATATTTTAAGTTTGTTTAAAAAAATCACAGTTTTTGACTTTTAAAATTTGGGGGGTTATTGTGTCTAGAGGTAGTGCAATGACTAGTTTTTACTTCACTTTTTAAAATCTTGGTATCTTAATTTATGACTTCAAACAGTTCTGAAACTTTGTAAGAGTTAGTGAAAAAAAACAGCTGTTCGTAGAGTTGGAGATGTTGTGAAAAATTAGAATGAACTATGAGATCTAATTTTGGACCTTTAGCAGAGATGAAGTAATAGGGGAAAACTGATTTTTAAAAATCTCCTCATGTTCTAAAATGTATTTCAGTTTCAGCACTACAGAATGGGCAAGGTTCAGTATCTTGGTTTTCCGTTTTTTTAATCAGCTCCTTTCTGACAGAACAGTTAATGGAACACTCATCATTCTGAATAGCTGAGTATGATGGAAATGAAAGGAAATACTAAATTCCAAATGTATTAGGGAATGTGCTCTTTATGGTGAATGCCTAGCAGGAGAATAACTGAAGAGCCCTGGCAGTAGATGGGGACAGGATGCTGTTCCTTATGGAAGTGGCAGGTCAGCTCACATTCTGGGTGATGGTAGCTGAATTCAGACAGGTGTGATGAATCTGAGGGAGAGAATGATAGGAAGATTTTGGAAGTGTTTTCTGTATTTTCTAAACTTCTGGACAGTACCGTGCAGTCCTGGTAGGCTTCTGTTAGGGCAACTGTGGTTAGTAGGCTGTGAAATAGAAGAGCTGTGGGCAGAAGTGGAGGTACCTACAGTTCAGGTGGAGGTTTGAAGTATTTGACTAAATAGTTGTGTGTATTCATCCTTATTCAGACAGTCCTACAGATCCTTCAAGGGTTTTTATATTAATAGTTTTTCAGAATAGATTCCTTTATGTTCAGCATGGTTTTAGCCAGTTTAGCTGCAGTGATGCCCCTCTATTATTCAGGGATATCTTTCTCTGTCTCTTCGAGTCTTCTGTGTTTTCCTCCTTACTGGCATTGGTCTATGAACCTATTTATTCCAGTTGAGGTTACAGTGACACTCCAAAGCTGGCTAGTAGGATTTTTCATGAAGCAAACCATATCATGTAGCTAGAAAATCTTCTTTCCATTAACAAAATATGTATTTGATTGAAAAAAATATATGCAGCTATGGCAAACTATTGTGTGTTATAATTTACTATTATCTGTATTCTGTAAAATTTGTAGCATTTTTGATCCACATTGTTCTTTCAGGGGAGTATCTGACTGTTATTGCAATTATTGTTTCATTATTTGCTTTGATTGGTTCCTGTTTCTGTAGTTTTCCACTGATTTGTTTTTCCTTTAACATCATTTTGAAAAAGTCAGTATCCTTTGTGTGTTGGTGCTCTGCGCTTCATTACTGCATTCTGGCTACTTTTTCAGTACTGCATGAAAGGTATAATTTGGAATGCTTTTGCAATAGTTAGATTTAGAGACTGCTAACATGACTACAAGACTGTGTAAATGGATGCAGGTATAAAATTACAATATTTCAATTTTTTACTGCTATAAATTCTAACAGAAAAGGGACGTAATTTATAAAATTAATCTATTTCCTTGTACAGCTGAACCACAGGACCACTTAAATAGATTTTCCATACATACTCAGTTTATAAAACAATGAAAATACAGGTATATTAATTATAGTTGTAATATATGTAGCATATTAGAAAGCAGATATTGTACACTGTGAAGGACACATCAGCATATTGGGGGGATTAGGTAAAATATGAGATGTGCTTCATTTCCCCCTTTTGCCTGTTCCTTTTCCTCTTTCCTTTGTACCTCTACACAAGTAAATTTCTATTGCTCTAACAACAAACCCTGGAAAGTTTTAGGTAGTACACATAATGTGCTTATTGCCTTATATTTTCCAAGGCAGAATGTGGCAGGTGAGGGTCCCTGGGGCATGATGGGAGACATTCCATCCCTTTTAGGACTGTGATATTCTGGAGTATCTATATTTCTCTTGTAACATGGGGGAGAAGCAAGCTAAAGATCTACTTCTATTGTACATGAGGAGGTGACATTCTGGCACCCATACACAGGGCTGTGCAGACTAGGGCACAGTGTGAAGCTGCTGCACCTCACAGAGCGCAGGAGCACATCAGACAAGTCCTGTGATCCACTGTCAAATTTTGTTATATATCTTCTTGCTTTGGTGTGAGAACAGATTACTTCACACATTTTATGGAATAGATTTCTCCAGCATCTATGCAAGCCAAGTGAGCAAGGAGGGTAGCAGAAGCATTGTCACGCTGCCTAGCCCCATAATTTGGGTACATTTCTTACGGGGAGACTACTGAGTACTAGCATCTTTCCATCACTTCAAAATAGATCAATAATCTCAGGAAAACAGAGCAGGGAGGAAAAGCAGATTCAAGTCTATCAGAGTGCTGTGATTGTTGTGACCTACTCCTATGCTCCCATTCTTCCACTCACCTAGTCCAGCCTCTCTGGTCAGGCCAAATAATTCCTATCCATTCTCTTGACTTGGTACCCTTTGTGTGCCACTTCATTAGTTGTTGACCTAAGGTGAGGATGGAGAATGGTTGGTTAGAGTTTGTAGCTAGTCCAGGAACTGTACTGATGTAGTCTTGACATAGCCACTGGAAGCCATGAGGCTGTATGTTGTCTGTAAAAAAAGTGTTACGTAAGAAAAATAAGAGTTATAAATGCATCTATGTGTGCAATGCAGCTAACTAAGCTTGCTAAATGCTCTAGATCCCATTTCATGCTAGGGTTTCTGTATATACCATATGTCATTTCTGTCATTATTATTCGAGAATTGAAAGACATTGATTGTACCTTCCCCCATGTAATGCTAATACCGGATAGCACTAACTTTTGTTGAATCATGTAAAAAAAATATTTAGGAGGGCTTTTTATAGAAATACCCCTTAAAGTTGCATAAAAGAGAAAACCTTTTACTTTACTTGCTTTATTCTAGAAAGCAAGCAAACCTGACAATGTGTGAAATGTACTTGATTCTGTCTCTGAATATGCATCTATAATCTTTCTAAAAGAGATGATCAAGCTGAACTTGTGTTTGCTTCCCCACTTTTAAATCACA